ACCTGAAATTCCCCTCTAATGTATAACCCTCCCTTTTAATTTTTAATTCTTATAGAATTCACAGATTTCCCCCGTTGCTTCTTTCATCTTTCGATATCCAATTTCAGTTATCAGCAGCCCTACAGTTTGTTTGTAAAGGCAAATATCTTTTTCCATTCATCAGTCAGTGGAATCCATCCCGTTGTTTCTTTTATCTCTCAGTGCTAGTCTTATCCACCAGTAGATCCACAACTCATTTGTAAAGACCAATTTGACATTCCTCTCAATGGGTACCCCAGGGCTCTGAAACGGGCGCCCGACAGGCGGTACCCCTAGAGCCCCTGTGACACCCAACTAGGGAGCCCAGAGAAGGGGAACCTCTGGGATTCCCAGGAGACCTCGCAGCCCAGAGAGAGTGGATACCAATACACAAGACACCTGGTAACTTCTAGAGATGGACTTGGGCAGGAGGAATACCCAAGCCAATGCACTTTCACTTGTTTTTTCCCCAAAACAGGAATTCCAGTTCCCAAAGTTCGGCCGGATGAAAGAGGAGGAGGAGGCTGCAAGGAAGAACACATGCTGCATTATCATTGGGTGACCAGCAGCCTGTGGGTGGAACAGTTAAAGCATTCCCAGTACTGAGGGGCAACAGGACTGCACCCGACAGGTGAAATGCCACAGAAACTTTTAGCGAGCACTTAATGTCTGGCTCCAGGCTCAGTGATGCAGATAATCTCCGAAGTGAGAGCATAATTATTTTACTGTATTGACTTTGGGCACAGTTTTGGGGGATTATCCTACCACCTCTGAGATGGTTGGGTAGCCTGCCGGGGTCAGTTTGTCCTGTCCTTTGGGATGGTTTGGCCCCTTCTGAATCTAATTCACTTGATACTGGTCAGTATTATTTACCCATAGAAATAATCTATCATAATCTATTCACTAATTATGTTTGTAAAAACATATAGCCCCTTTGTTGCTATTACACAATTGGCTGCTGATATTATCTGCCATACTAATGATTGATACTACGTTATTGATTGCTTATCATCATTTTCATTGCTTGATATATGTATATCTTAATTTTATTAATCATATCCACTTGCTGATTTTTGTGCTATTCGTGCTAATCTGTAATAAGGTAGAGCAATTTAGAGGATAAAAGTCTCCATGTCTTGTGTCTTGTGGATTATGGAGTCCTAGAAACCAAAGTCATGATCCCTACTCACCCACAAGCCAGGTAACCC